AACCTGCTGAGCCATCAAGCCTGACCTCACACTGAACCCACAGAAATTCAGGCTCACTCACTACCATGAGCCAAAAATAAAATAACCTTACGCTAGCCCCATCTAGTGGGTGCTACAGTTATAATATAAAGCATGTTCTACATGTAAATTTGAAAGACAGTTTACTAAAACACTGTGATTTGTTAAAGGCAAATAGGCTGTTCACTTTGTAAGGCAAGTTGCACCTTGCAAGGAAATTCTCCCCAGAGCTTGGTGAATGTGGTGAAATGTAATTTTGCAAAGAATACTCAATCACATGCAAGGAAAATGATTGGATGATAGACTTCAGCAGTGCTTCTCCACATTTTCTAAGCTCTTGGGACAATTTCCCTGCAAAGTGAATAGTCAATTTGCCTTTAGTAAATGAACCCCTGTGTATCATGAACAATCACCATGTTTTTATTTTTTACCCCCATAGGATACCTGTTTTCTCCTTTTCTCAGTGCTGCTGATCTCTTCTCCAACCTCTTAACAACAATTGCTATGTTTGTTCCCCATAAAATATTTTCACCTTTATCTCTTCCTTTTTTCTATCTGAAAAATAATCTCCTCCAATATATTTCCTTCTTTACAAGCAGTCTGTTGCAGGGTTATAATATATTTAGTGCCATGAATGTGTTCTTGGCACAGTACTTCCCAGGGTGCTATACACTGATCAGCCATAACTTTATGACCACCCACCTAATATTGAGTATGTCCCTCTTTTGCCACCAAACCAGCCCTGAACCATTGAGGCATGGATGCCACTAGACCTCTGAAGGCATGCTGTGGTATTTGGCACCAAGCCGTCTGTAGCAGATCCTTTAAATCCTTAAAGTTGGGAGATTGTGCCTCCATGGACTGCATTTGTTTTTCTAGCACATCCCACAGATACTCAATTGGATTGAGATTTGGAGAATTTGGAGGTCAGATCAACACTTCAGACTTGTGTTCCTCAAATCATTTCTGCAGTGTGACAGGGCGTATTATCATGCTGAAAGAAGCCACTGCCATCAGGGAATACCGTTTCCATGAAGGGGTGTACTTGGTTAGCAACAATGTTTAGGTAGGTGGTATATGTCTAGTAACATTCACATGAATGGCAGAACCCAAATTTTCCAGCAGAACATTGTCCAAAGCATAAGGCTGCCTTCACTGGCTTCCCTTCTTTGCATACTGCTTCCTGGTGCCATATCTTCCCAAGGTATGGGACACAAACACATCTAGCCATCTACTTGAAGTAAAAGAAAATGTGATTCAGCACACCAGGCCCCCTTCTTCCATTGCTCTGTGGTCCAGAGCTGTCCAGGTTCTGATGTTCACATGCCCATTGTAGGCACTTTTAGCTGTGGACACAGGTCAGTATGGGCACCCTGACCGGTCTGCAGCTACACGACCCCATAAACAACCAATGACGATGCCCATTTGGCTGCTTTTAACACCTCAACTCCAGGGACAGCATGTTTACTTGCTGCCTAATATGTCCCATAAGATGCCATTGTGATGAGATAATCAACATTATTCACTTAGCCTTTCACTGGTCACAGTTATGGCTGATTGGTGTAGGTCAAATGCTAAACCAGAGGCTGTTGTTTCCTTTTACACAGCTTGGAGTGGTCAAGTGATCATAGTAAAGTTGTAACCCCTAACTTAGCATTCATATTATAAAATGTTAGGGTTGCACTGATAGCAATAATGAGTACTTGCATGGATGTATAGGTGGTCCGCCCCCACATCACTTTCGCCCTATACCCACAGGGGTCCCGGAACTTCCTATATCTCCTCCAGTCTTGTGAGAACTACAAGTGGCCATGCTTTTGGATTTGACATGCAAAATATATTATATACTTTTAACATATGAGTTGTTATAACATTAATTAAATTAACTGTTTGTTTACCCATTGCTGCCCTTCTTAGATGGCGCTTCCCTGTCTTTCTTTACTGGGATCAAGGGAAAACCACATGCCATTTGGAATCACACTGCATTCCTGTTCAAATCACAAGAGATTCTTTGCAGTGTGATTTGAGCCCATTCATTTTGTAGGGGCTCCAATCACAATGCAAAGGTATCGGTACTTAGTATAGGCAAGTACTTGACCAAAAATATCGTTACTCGTACTTGCCGGTAAAAAACTTTGCCGGTAAAAAACAGTATCGGTGCTACCCTATAAAATATGGGAGAGTACATGGGAATGGACCAGTATCTACTGGACAGATGCAGGTAAGTATCTGGATTACATTTGCAGAAATTATGTTTCATTTTAAGTAGTATGTTACACTGTGTGGGTATACATCCTTGGGAGGTCATATATTTACTAGTTATTCCATAGTCTCCTTGGGTCTCATATTTGACAAGGATGAAGACATAGCTCTGTACACCTTGTGTTGGATACATTTTAATTTTAACAAGGAAAAGTACAATTTCAGAAGACTTACTTACCACTGAGAGGTGAAGACCAAACAGATGACACTGTTTAATCTGAAATTCCTGCTGTTGGTCCCTGAAGGATAGAGAGCTGTATTTATCGCCCAACCTGACAACACAATACATATATTACAATGACAAGCTTGCAAAAATGATTTGCCCTTACAATTTATGACATGTGGTTGAAATTTGTGGTTGGATGAGGAATGTCCGAAGTACATTAATGCTTCAATCCCTTCTGTGCAGTGCATGTTGTGACATACATAACATATGGTTGTGCACGGTGGTCTGGCTGGTGGGTGGATGGTGTGCATGGGGAGAAGTATCTAGCATCGGCATCTCTGTACAAACACAGATACATAACAAAGTTTCATACATCTCACCGTATGGTTAGAGTTTTTTTCCCACCATAAATAAAACTTTGTTGTAGGGAATCTGTATAGCAGCTTAGTAAGCATATGTAATACGTCAGGGTTGCCCATGGTAAGTAAAAGAGTGACCTTACAGTATTCATAAGAAGATTGCATTTGTGACACTGTTGTCTCTTAACTGGAGATCCTGCCAGTAACAGCATCTCCTGTATGTAGGCTGCAGTCCCGTGGATAAGGGGGTACCACAAAGTCCTCCTGTACAGGGCCCAGGCCAGCAGGGGGCCCAGGCAGATGGGTGAATTGGATGTGTGCAGAGATGGTCATCGGCACGGCCAGGGGGTAATTACTGGAGCAGATCCTCTGTATGGCTCTCTCTGCTGCAATGTGGCCTCTTCTTTTCTTCCTCCCACTGACTTTCAGCTGAAGCAGAGAGAGTCAGAAAGGGGACAAGTCCCAGTAAGTGCCCCTCCTGCTGCACCCATTACCCTCCCTGTGTACCATACATTTCCCTCAATGCCCAGGTCCCCCTGTGTGCCCCCACCCCCACAGTGATGCCACCTTCCCTCCTCTCCTTCCCACCAGCAACTGCAAGCACACAATCAGATCCCTCAGGATGGTGAGTGGGGGAAGGGTCCGGTAAATAAGTCACATTTACCAGTCCTTTCCTAAATGAATGAACACAATGAGTGATCAGTACTGATCACTCACTGTATTCATTCATAACTGTGTTGTTTGTTGTGGGGGGGGCCCTTTCAGGTTGGCTGTTTGGGGCCCCATGGTTTCTAACAGCAACCCTGGTAGGCTGACAATGCTAAGCCTTACAATTAGCAGCAACATTGTCAGCATGCTGTGCAATCTCCTTCAGTAGGCTGTTGGGCTGCCTGTCTAATGGTCAGCTTGAAGGACAACACAGCAGGCAGACAACACTGCTAATTGTAAAGCTTATCAATAGAGGATTTCCATGTAAGAGATTCTGCAATAGAGTCACAAAGAATTTTATCCTAAGAAAACGGGTTCCTTTTGGTTGCTTAAAAGTATTAGGAATGTTTTGCCCTCTTAAGCTGGACTGTGGGGAGCCAGGGGAAGATATAACCTAAGACATGATGAGAAAAGGAATAAGCGTAAAAACTGCCAAACATCTAAAGTTGGACCCAATACTCTCCTGTCACTCTAATGAATTTTTGCTTGTCCAAACCTGGATGGATTTACTATGTACCCCTTACTCATTTACAAGAGGGAGTGGTTATCTGGGGGACTGCTTGTTTTTAACGCTCTTCCATATTCTGATAAGCCTCCTCCGCAGACCTCCCACAAGCACCGGGCCAGGGTTGTGGGAAAGAGGCCCTTGTCCTCATAAACATAGGGACAAGGTACTTTGCCGCGGGGGGAGGGACCCTCTGAAAGATATTCTCTCCATTTTGAGGGCATGTGGCTTGGTATGGTTCCGAAGAGGAGTACATGCATGCTGCCCCAACATTTTCAGACGAGCCAGGCTGCATGCTCAAAACAGGTCTGGTGTGGAATTTAGGGGGACCTCATGACATTTTTTTTTCTGTGGGGTTCCCCTTAAATTATAGCAGACCCTCATCAAGGAAAAAGGTTCTGGTATGTATTTTAAGGGGAGCCCCATCTAGGATGAAGGTCTGACATAGATGAAGGGAATCCCAAGGTGCTTTGTTTACAAACAGAATAAAGAGGCTGGGAGCTGTCATTTACCAGCAATTTAAATGGTATTTAAATTCAGTTTTGCTGTACTACATTGTATACATTGTACAAATGCGCAACATCACAGGCAGGTTTAGGGCATTCTCTGAACATGTTATGTAGCCTCCCTAGTGGTCTGATTATGTCCATATTTCTGTGCTCAAAGCGGTACATTTTTTTGCATGGAAAGATGTATTCTTTTTATTGTAGGCCTGTAATTTGTAGGAATAACTCACTGAAATCTGTCCGAACAAGAGTCTAGTAAACACCCCGGGTATGATAAAATTTGAAACACAAAATCATAAATTATAATTTAATAAATAATCATAAAAATAACAATATAATAAATTTAATTAACTAATATAATCATACCAAAAACACTGAAATTTGAAATAAAGCGCCAAGTTCGCACATCACTGAGCAAAGTCGAAAAATCGTTTTCAGTGTCTGATGACGAATTTCCCCACGAATCATTATCACTCAATTCTGCAAGTGGTTCTAATTTACTATTGCTGTTCTCTAGCTGGTCTAAAACCGCTTTTGACCTAAAGGGACGCTTTTTGGACGCCCCAAGTTTCCAGGCAGAAAGAACAGTAAAAATGCAGGCAGGGCACAGGACAAAGCCCTCGGGACAAAATGTATGTGAAATGGTTTGATACAGTAATGTTTTACTATGTGATTTTAGTGAATTTAGTGAATGCCACATTTACAATTTTCAAATTTCCTGCCAGTTCCGTCCTTGTACATCCTGACGTCGTAGGAAACGGAACCCAGAAGATGGATGCTGGTATTGGCCGGAGGAGATTACAGGGGACACTGCAGGAGGGACATCGCGGGAGCGCAGGACAAGGTAAGTGCAGAAGAGATCCCGGAGCAACGCTGCAGTGTATTCCCGAGTGTAGCTCGGGGGTTACGGCTTGTGGTGCTGAAACTTTACCCCGAGCTACACTTGGGAATACCGCCAGGGAGGTTAAAGGAATTTTGCATTTTTACTGTTGCCCTTTAAGCATAATTAATAAAAGAGCTGATCCCCGCTGAACTGAACTTAAATAATTAGTTTTGCATTTTCCCCAGGGCAGTGTCTCACTCCCTATGTCCTTTGATTCATTAAGGAGGGGTCTCCATGCTGTTTTATTACACCAAAATTCAATAGATCTATCAGTCTCCTCACACAACTTTGGATTCTGAACCCTCCTTTCAGCCCCACATCCAATCATTGTCCACAGCCTGCCACCTCAACCTACGCAACATCTCTAAAATATGCCCCTTCTTAACTAATGACACCACAAAGCTGCTAATCACTCTCTGGTCATCTCTCACCTCGACTACTGCAACTCCCTCCTCATTGGATTACCTTTACACAGGCTATCCCCTCTTCAGTCCATCACAGAAGCTGCTGCCAGGCCCATCCACCTTACCAACCATTCAGTGTCTGCTACCCTACTCTTCAGATCTGTCCATTGGCTTCCACTCATCCAGTGGATTAAATTCAAAACACTAACAACTTACAAAGACATCCACAACTCTGCCCCCAGCTACATTACTAATCTAGTCTCAAAATACCAACCAAATCGTTCTCTTCATTTCTCCCAAGACCTCCTGCTCTTTAGCTCCAGGGCCGGATCTAGCTGGTCTGATGTGGGGGTGCAGTAAAATGTTAGCAGGGCAGAAGATAGGGTCAGCAGTTTGCAGGTTACTGTACAGGGGTCAGCAGGGCGGAGAACGGGGCAGCAGGGTAAAGGATGGGAAGTCAGTAGAAAAATGTATAGGAATTAGTAGGGCAATGTACAGGGGCCCATAGGGCAGAGGACAGTGGTCAGCAGAGCAGTGTACAGGGTTCATCAGAGTCGAGAACAGGGGTCACTGCTGACTGGGCAGAGCCAGGGTACCCGCAACAGATCTCCTCCTCCCCACAAAGCAGAGAGCTGAAATTGGATTCCCTTACACAGTGTTAGGTGCCGCCTGGCAGTGTCTCTAGCAGCCCACAGCACGGATTTCCTCAGGGCGCGGGGTCTAAGTCCCAGCCTGCTATTCACCAGGGCCCCTGATGGTGGGGATGGACTTGGTGCAGACTGGAACCAGGTCGCGACCCCCGACTGCGTCCGGCAGTGGTAGAGAGTACTGGCAGGGGAGTGCAGGAACGGAGTCTGATGGGAAGAGGCAGGCAGACTTACTAAAGGTGATTCGTGCGGGATGGATGGATCGTCGGGTGAAGTAAGCGTAGTCAGACAGGCCGGGTCGGTATCGTGCGGGCAGCGTGGTACAGGAGGAACAAGCAGAGAATGGTTGGGGTCACAAGCCAGGTTCAGCAGGTAGCGGGCAGCGCGGTACCAGGGATCAGGCAGAAGAATAGTCAGGCAAGCCAGGGGTTAATCAGGAGAATAGCAGGATCAGGAACAAGCAGAGGTCGGCAACGGATAACACAGGAACGCAAATCAGGAACAGAACAGGTAAGACCAAACGGCAACTTGACATACATGTTCCACGTTTAAATAGCCCGCCCCGCGCTGTCATTGGTGCTGGGCGCGTGTCCGCGATCGCGAGTGCGCATGCACGAACACCGCCACTGCCGTGCACGCCCAGGTCCCGTTGCTCGTCCGCTAGTGAGGACTGGTGTTCTGCGCATGCGCCGCCCAGCGCGACGCTGCAGAGCACCAGCGTCCTGACACACAGCCACTTTCTGGTTACTGCGCTAGCGTTCCGACATAGGATTTTCACAGGTCAGAGCTGCAACATACTGTAGCAGCCAGCTATACACTGAGGATCATGGCTGTATAAGGGAATCTGATTTCAGCTCTGTGCTGTGTGGGGAGGAGGAAGCTGTGCCCAGTGCAGTGCAGGGATGGAAGAAGGAGTTCAGCTGCCCAGGGGCGGACTGACAACTCATGGGGCCCCCGGGCAATAGGGGATCATGAGGCCCCTGTGTCCTTGCCCAAACTCAAAGCCTATGAAAAAGGTACCAGGGGCATCTCATGGGGCACCTACTGACCCCGGACCCTCGGTTTTCAAATGGTCAGTCCGCCCCTGCAGCTGCCTGGCACAGCCTCTGGGGTGGGGGGGGGTGCAGGGTTGCCAACTCTTGGCATCTTTTTTATTGACAAAAATGTACTGTCAGAAAACATTTTTTACGGACAATCCGAAAAAATGACAGAACAGAATAATGCATCCAAATGCACTTTGCAAGAGACTGCTGACTTACTACAGGAGACATTGGTGTATTTAGGTTTTGTGCTGCCCCAGGCAACACAAAAAACGTCTGCCCCCCACAGACACCAAACAGCAAAACCCCCTCTTCCCCCTCCCGCGGAGAGAGCCTGACACCCCTGCCCCCCACCCAGTAGAGCCTTCCACTACCCCCCCCCCAGCGATAAAGAGACACTCATCTTCACATCTCCGGGAATGAGAGCCAGGCTCTACATACACCATCAAGCAGCCTCATTCAGATCCCATCTGGTTCCCATGGAGCACGTGTCCCTTCTTTCATGCCTTCTTCTGGGGGGAGGTGCTGCCCCCCTGAAAAATGCCGCCCTAGGCAACACAAAAATTGTCTGCCCCCCACAGACACCAACCAACACAACCCCCCCTCCCCCTCCCGAGGAGAGAGCCTGACATTGACCAACAACACCCCTGCCACCCACCCGGTAGAGCCTTCCGCTACCCCTCCCCCAGCGATAAAGAGACACTCATCTTCACATCTCCGGGAATGAGAGCCAGGCTCTACATATACCATCAAGCAGCCTCATTCAGATCCCATTTGGTTTCCATGGAGCACGTGTCCCTTCTTTCATGCCTTCTTCTGGGGGGAGGTGCTGCCCCCCTGAAAAATGCCGCCCTAGGCAACACAAAAATTGTCTGCCCCCCACAGACACCAACCAACACAACCCCCCCTCCCCCTCCCGAGGAGAGAGCCTGACATTGACCAACAACACCCCTGCCACCCACCCGGTAGAGCCTTCCGCTACCCCTCCCCCAGCGATAAAGAGACACTCATCTTCACATCTCCGGGAATGAGAGCCAGGCTCTACATATACCATCAAGCAGCCTCATTCAGATCCCATCTGGTTCCCATGGTGCACGTGTCCCTTCTTTCATCCCTTCTTCTGGGGGAGTGTCGCAAACGTTGCACCAGAGACTGACACAGTCTGCCATTTTGTTAAGAGTAGCCATGATATTCCCTCATTCTTCCCCCCCCCTCTCACTCTGAGAGGCACAGTGACAGATGTGTGTGTGTTAAAAGTGTCACAGGCCAGATCCCAGCAGGGAACCACGAAGTGCCTCAGTATCCCAAGAACCTGTGCCATTTCACACCTCGGAAGAGATAAGGCAAGCTTTCCCAAGAGCTGAAAGAGATTCCGACCTCATAAACCTAACTCAGCGTAGGTGACAGAATCAGGTAACCTTTGTTAAAATCCATGTTTCCCCTATATCTTGGAATATGAGAGACTTGCATAAAAACCAGACATATCGTCAGATGGCCAATGAGCAGGCGAACAGTTTGATGGGTCACTCGCCTTGTCTCGGACACATAGGAACGCAGAAACATAGATCTCATGAACTGTGCAGTATATAATTTCATAATTCATATCTAATCAATCCTCAGACGTGTCCGCATAATAATCTACCAGCGGGTGGACTGTCCCTTGTGCAGATGGACAGTTATGGGCCAAAATATGAGTTATGGGAGATTTTTGCTCTAGTTGAGGCATCAACCATAACTACATGCCCTAAACAGGTTATTGGGCCTTGACTTAAGAGGCACCCCCTGCTGGGGACTACAAAATAGGCTGTCAGACCTAAGAGTGTAAGAAGTTGAAGACGTCTCTCATTTTTAACATCAATACCACCTGGGGAGACACGTGCCCTCTTGCTCTGAAACTTGGATCTGCTAACCCAGGACTTTGGCAAGTACCTTAACCCTTTCACCTCTCTCTGATATCTCTTTGCTGTGCTATGGTTCCTTGTATATTTATATATATATATTTTAGTTACATTTTTTTTCTGTAAATATTTTTATTGCACCCGTTTGACCTTTTAGTAATAAATCTTTCTTTCTGAAAGTGTTGAACTGTTTCTATAGCTCTGTATTGCAATTTAGGAATCCCTGCCTCTAAAGAGAACGCTTCTGTTTGTTTAACCCTCTGTATAACAGGCCTGTGTTATGACCTTGTTATGCAGTCGATTATTTCAATCATTATAGTGTTATAGCTGATAACGCCGAGTTTACTCTTTCTCTGTACAAAAAGGAGGTGGTGGCAGTGTGAAAGGGTTAATTGCGTAATTAACCTGACCCAGTAACAATCGCCCAGGCTGCTGGTACATCGATTGTGGCCCATTAGCTGGGAAATCGTTGTGCAGGGTGCAGTTGGGTGTGGCATTGTTATGCGCGTCACATCCCGGTCTTAGATTGGCTAGTCCTTCGGTCACGAGTTTGGTGAGAAGGTCTGGGGTCTGACGCCACGATCGTGACATATTGGTGGCAGCGATCGTGGGATCGTGACAGGGAGGTGCTGCCCCCCTGAAAAATGCCACCCTAGGCAAGTGCCTTATTTGCCTTGTGGTAAATACGCCTCTGACAGGAGACAGTCGGAGACTGCACACCTACTACAGTATAGGAGATATTCAGAGACTGCAGACATAGTACAAGAGACGGTCAGAGACTGCAGACATAGTACAAAAAACGGTCAGAAACTGCAAACATACTACAGGAGATGATCAGAGACTGCAGTCATAGTACAGGAGATGATCAGAGACTGCAGACATAGTACAGGAGATGGTCAGAGACTGCAGACATACTACAGGAGATGGTCAGAAACTGCAACATACTACAGGAA